CTCACGCCCAGTCGTTCGGTGAACATTGCACATGAGACCAGACAAATGTGTTGAAGGGCCATTGGAAGGCCCGCCTACAGGGGTTGCCCGTTGAGCGACATTGGGTGACGGACCAGCAGAAGCTGATCCAGTACCTCTGGGTTTCAAGCCGTCGCTTTGCTCTTGCGAGTCATATCTGGAGGCACTCGACACACTGCTCATGCTATTATTGGCTTCGTGGGCGCCATATGGGTGCTGCGGTGGCGCAGAGGTCGACTCCATGGTGCTTGATCGGCTATCAAAGAAGCTTTCTGTCTTCGGGGGCGGTGTCGGTAGTGGTGAGGTCGAAGGTGACGGATCGAAGAACTTTGGTGAAGGAATCTGCCCCTCTGGCACACTAGGTAGATTGGAGGAATTCGAATCTTGGGGATGTATAGATTCTTGATACGGCGGGGACCGCGGTAGAGGCTTGGACAGACTATACTGAAGGGTCAAGTTTCGAGCATGCTGAGGAGGTGCTTCGCTTGCGGGGGGTGCACTCGAGGTGGAGGAATGAGCGGAGTGTAGACTTCCGGATGAGCTCTTTAAGTGCAATCGTGAAGGACTTCTCGAGAGCTTGACTGAAGGTAGCTTTCGAATTCCTCGATAAACGCCAGCAAGAAGATCGGGGGTATATCGGCCGGTCGGCTTTTCGTCGTTAACGAGATCGGGGAAACGAGAAGGAGGTTCGTCGCCTGCTGAATCCTGACGGATTGTTAGTTCTGGAGAATCAACCATGATGCTCTGCTTGAGGATCGTGAATAGCGAAACATGAGGCGATTGAAGTGCAACAGTTTGCGATGGGCGGGGAGGAGTAAAGGAGCTTGAACAGAGGGCTGACCAAATAGGAAGTAGAAGCAGCAGCAGCAGTAGTCGAGGACCCAGGCCAGAGACAACGGGAGCCAAGGCAATGGAAACGCCCGAGACGTTGCGCTGGAGATCGTGAGTTCGATCCGGTGAGGAGTGAACAGGGGCGTCACCGCCAAAGACTGGGTCCCGAGGTCACTTCACGACAGGGCCAGGCCAGATGGACAGGGCCAGGGAGGGTATTGCGAGGAGCCGGGCGCTGATCAGAAAACGTGGAAGGACTGAGGCGTTTGTCAAGGTCACGTCAACGAGATACAAGGAGCACTAAACGAGGAGAGTAGCGGGCGGGCGGATAGAGTCGTGGCGGTTGTTGGTCGCGGGGGAAGAGGCTCCGTCTGGAGACAGGACCGAGATGGTCAACCAAAGGAGGATAAGAACGACAGGGACGGGGCGGGACGGACAGGACAGGACAGGACAAGGGCAAGGCCACGCGGTGGAGGCCAGACGAAAAGGCCAAGGGACAGAGGAGGAGACGATGGAGATGGCGTACGTACAGTAGATGCTGGAAAGCCAAGGCTAGGTTGTTAATTTCGTGTGAGTCGCAAGGAGAGAGGGAGAAAACTGGTGATGTACGAATAGGGAAGCGGTAGGGTTCAGGAGGTTGGAGAAACAGAACGGTCCAGTCCAGAATCAGAAGCCGTAAACGTAACCGTAACCGTAACCAAGTCACCTGCAGATATGCAATGCAAGGCGAGCAGTGAGTGGCACGCACCACGCACGGCACAGTATGTATGGTCTCTCCCGTTGCTTTTTTTCCTCCTTGGTGACTGGGCCGACATATGCCAGGGACAAAGGCCCTGAAGTCGTGATGAAGGGGATTGAACCAATGCAGTGTCAAGGTCAAGGTGGAAAGACTGGAGTTGACAAGGGGTACGTCCATTTGGCAGCTGAGTGCACGGACACCAAAAGTTAAGGAGAGGGGCCAGGGAGCAAGAAAACATCAGGCCTCGATACAGGGAGTTAAAATAAACTCAGCAAAATGTATCCCAAACTCAGGCCAAACTTATGCTAGATTACCTAAGTTTTTTTGTCACTTAGAATCAAGGTCCTGAGTTTTCTTTCCCCCCCTAGAGGGGTTCAAAAAGATAGTGAGTGTGGCCTATGGGTCGATTGATGTGACGCTGCGAATAGAGCACAGCATATAATACTTGGCAGATATGCATATTCTGTTTCGTATCTTTTGACTGTATACACGTAGTGTTCCTATGTTTGTTTGATGCTCAATTCCTGTATCTGCAGTCTCTGCAATGTCTCCTCGTAATGGTCCCCAGTCCCCTACAAAATGGAAGATTGGGGCTGTCGACAGTTGTCAACTTAGGCCAAAGTTTATTAGCTCCTGGCACAGGGTTGGTTTCGGATACAGGGGACACGACAAAGCTTCTGGAACCGAATCCTTGAGAACGAGATCGACTATGACGACAAAGGGGTTTCGATGGGGATGTTTCAGATAGACCACGTTGACAAAAACTCCCGCGGAGATATTTCATTTTTCCCTTCGGGAGATTCCGTGTCTTCTTTTCTTTCTGTGACTGTTAGATATTCAGGAGTCGAGGTAACATGACATTCTGCTCAAGCGCTTCGAGTTGGGACGAACCAACCAATGATACCCTCCACTCCAGCGACTGCATAATCGACCCAACTGCGGCACATTTGCAAGCGAATCGCCCAACACAACCCTCCTCCACTGCCCTGGGCCCTGGGCTTTGCTGACTGAGCACTACTCCGTAATGGAGACACAGACACAAACACGCGGCTCAGGGGAAGAACTAGGATCGACATAACGAATGCCTGGTAATAATAACAAGTACTTGTTATTACTATAGCTCCAGGTCTTGTAGAAACGGCTTGTCATCGCTTCGTCCTTAATGTTAAAAATCATGGTAAAGGAGAATTATCGTCCAGGGTCGGTTCTGAACCATCACCTCGGTCCCAAGGTTCTAACCGCGTTAAATTGACAGGGCCCCCTAAAAAAAATACTTGACAGCGCCTAGAAGGCTAGTGGAAGGAGCTGGGCTAGCTGGGCTTTTTACCGACATGGGGTCCCCTGTTTTGAACCCAGATAGCTGGGTTCGTGAAATGTCATCACCAACCAACATGGGCAAGGAGACAACTTGTCTAGCTTGTTCATAAATTGTCAATTGCGCATAAAAGCAATGGATGAATTATTATTGTTTGGTTACCCCCGAACTCGAAACCACAGTGACATTCTGTGCTTAAGACTCCTCCAGGATTGAGTTTCCTCTCACGTTAGACGGGGCGCGCGGCAAAAACCACAGAGTTTCCTTCAAAACTGAGTTTATTATCTAATATGAGCTTCTCTAATATATATACCTTTCTGCGTTTCTTTGCCGGTGTCATAGCTAGCATTCTACCCCAGAGAGACTTCTGCTCCGTCACTGAGCTTGGAGAAGGATTCTTCGTGCCTTGCATTCGTGCTCAATCAAATCGTTGTGAGGCAACAAACATCTACCAAATGCCAGTGAATGACAACATGAGGAGCCACAATTGGAACGTTTGAGGTTAATCGACCTGCTCGGGCCGTAGATTCAGATAGAGTTGAATGCGGGGATACAAGAGCTCGACATTCCAACGGTGTCCGTTGAGATATTCTAGGCTGGTAATTAGTGATCCACCAGCCTTGAAGTCGTTGACAGTCATCGCGAAACCCGCCTCCCTTACTAGCATATCACTAAGATCCGTGTTTTAGACCATGTTTCTCTCTAGATTTACCTCTTTAGACGGCTGGGCTCTTTTCTCAATCGTATAACAAATACATAGTTCGACATAATAGAGGTGATGATGCCAATGCTAGATATGGACGGAACGGCATGTCACCAGTGGGACCTTGACTCGAAGGCTTCGACTCCCCGTAGATCATCCTCACGCTGCCGCCATGACGGAGCTACCCCATTTCAGAAGTTCATTTTCTAGGTCTAGCCCAAGGCATCAGATCCGAATGCGTGGAGATGTTGGTCCGGTCAGTGGCTGGTGAACAAACTAATGGCCAGGCACATTCGACAAGAGGAAGCTAACTAACTATTGTCTGCTATAATAGTTAGTTTCAGTATCCAATAACCTAGATATATAATGGGTGTTATGTGACTTGAATGAGGTAGTTGTGGCTGCTTATGCCACACTATTATGATCAAGCAGATGACAAGGATACAACACGAGCTGGTTCTCACATATTTCTACGCACACGATGCAAAGTCTTTGATTAACCTCGAGGTATTTTATGTCGTGGGATTATGTAGAAGTGGAGGTTTTCCTCCGCTAATGGCTTGAGCTTTAATGCTCTGTCTGCGTTGTGTCTTTGAGGAACCATCAAGCGCTCTTGATGTCTCAATGAGTGAACTTGTAGGCCAAATCAGAACACCTATTTTGCTTAGTGACAAAATTCCAGAACGTCTACGATTACTATGTTTCCGGTTAGTTAAGCTGACGCTGATAGAGCAAGTGATCATAGCTATGAAGAGGAACTGAGGCCACGGGCTACACAGGGCTTGGTCAGTTGGTAACTGCAGGCTCCTCGAATGAGGCCTGCTACATGGCAGGGATTTGGGTATTTTCTTGTACTTTATTATATAATTGACGACTTATTCCCTTGGCACGTCGTGCATCGTGACTGATACTTGGATGATAGACGATCTTCGTGCTTACTGGCGGCTCAACGAAGCCCCGAGTCAGTTGTGGCTTTCTCGGCTTGGAGTTTCATACTTGCAGATCAATCTTCAGCTATAATATATACGATTATTTGTGCCTCACGCGAGGATGCGATATGAAGTAGCAAACAAGACTGACTGGGTTGTCACGGCAAATCTGATATCTGATAGCTACAGGTTAGCTCAGTCCAGATTTAGCAATTGAGTAAACAAGTTCCCGAGGCAACTGCATGGAGATCCTGCCTTATACTCTCGTCAGCAAAAAGCTGGTGATGTTTAGTGGTCGCGATGCCAGGTATCCAAGGTACCTACCATTATAAGCCTCGTAGTCGCTGTGTTATCAAAGTGCATGTTGTCCCACCTTCCAATTACGACATTGGCTCCCGTATAATATAATATGGTCTCACTCAATTTCAACCCCGCACTCATCACCACCAACACCATCATCACAAAATGCCTGTATCAAAGGAATTAGTCCAGGATATCCTAAAGGCGATCCCAGCCCGCATCCGCGGTCCAGGCGGTGCTGTCGCCGTCCTCTCAGATGGTGCCCTCGTTGATCAGCGCGTCTGGGGTTACGCCGACTTCAACCGCAGAATCCCCATGGCGGATGATACGCTGATTCCCATATGCTCCATCTCAAAGCAGATGCTCTGCGGATTGGTCGCGGACCTGGAAAAGAACCCTACTCCCAAGTTGACGGAGAAGGGCGATGTGAAGACGCAGTTCCAGGAGAAGTTGAAAGAGATTCTTCCAGAGCTTGCCAAGACGGGCGAGTTGAAGATTGATCATTTGTGCAACAATCGATCTGGCATTCGCGACTATTGGGCTATCACTTTACTCTGGGGTGCAAAGCCAGAGGATCCCTACTCGATTGCTGAGCACAATGATAAGGTGTTGAAGACGATCCAGTCGACGCATTTCACACCGGGAACGGAGTACTCTTACTGCAACACCAACTTCAATATCGTAGCGCGAGTCGTCGAAGCTACTACCGGGGAGTCGCTCTCAGATCTCCTCAATGCACGCATCTTTGGACCGGCTGGCATGAAGACTGCTCAGCTTGGTGCAGACACGGCGAAACTTCCACCACCTTGCGTTGGATACGAAGGCGATGAGGACAGAGGTTATATCCCTGCGGAGAACCGCATTGAGTGGGCTGGCGATGCAGGTATCATTGCCTCACTCGGCGACATGATCGCTTACGAGTCGTTCCTGGACCGTAGCCTGTTCGATCCTACCAGTTGGTACCGCGCAATCTTCAAGCCTACATCTTTCACAGACGGCGTTCCTTCAGTATACTCTCAAGGCCTCGGCCATAGTCAATATGGTAGTGTATCTGGAATTGGTCACGGTGGTGCTCTTCGTGGTTTCAGACTTTATCGAGCTCATGTACCGGAAGAACGTCTTTCAGTTGTGGCCATGTTCAACCATGAAGCTGATGCAGCTACACTCGTGGAACATATCATCCAAACTACTTTGGCTCTTCAGAAGCCTCCGCCGCCTACGCTTGTTGATGCATCATCTGCTTGGCCGGGTATCTATCTTGACGATGGAACTCAACTGGCTGTCACGATCAAGAATGGTAAAAAGGGTCAAATCGTGGTAAACTACGCCAACTACGCGGAGCCCGTCAATCTGACGGACCCTGAGCGAGGAGAATCTCGTGCAATGGTAGCCGTCATCGACGGCGACAACCTTCGCATTCACCGTCTGAAAGAGAACAGAACCTTGAACGCAAAGCGCCTCAAGATTGGCGATACACCCATTGACAACTCGCTGTTCACGGGGGACTTTTACTCCGAAGAAATCGGCTCAACCTTCCACTGTGTGGATCAAGGCGGACTCATGTTTGGCACCTTTGAGGGGTTCCTGGGTCACAGTCCAGCTCAGTTCATGAGATATCTTGGAGGGGATGTCTGGGCGCTTGCGAACCCGAGAGGTATGGATGCAAAGCCTCCTGGCGACTGGACTCTCGTTTTCCATCGAGATGAGAAGGATGGTGTTACTGGAGTGACGATTGGATGTTGGTTGGCAAGGAAGATTGAGTTTGTGAAAAAGTGAGCTTGAGATGCTGGGCCGGAAAGTTGGACTAGAGTCTGGCGATTTGGTGATACTAGCATAGTAAAACGAGATAGCGCTTTGGTTCGCAGAAGATATGCGGCCTTATATACCTTTACATTAAGAATAAACTAACAGAGCTGTAAACGTATTAATGTTTCTTATGTATCGCCTTCTTCAGTTACAGCTTATTGGTATTATGTGTATGCAGGATAAGTAAACAGGGATAACGGCCTCAAAGCTCAAGATCTGAAGCTTACACACCACTTCAAAAGATACATGCTTGATGAAAAATTGCTTCCTTGAAGTCATGCTACTCAGCCCGACTTTCTTGCTCCGCCGAAGTTATGATGGATTCACAAGCTTGTGTGGACCCTGAAAGCTTGACGCCGGTATCGGTGACCGATGGCCCGAAACCCCGCCATCAGAAATAACCTCGTCGCATGAGGGACATGTCAGCAATGAACGAGGGTTCTTATGATCTCTCACTTATAGCTTCAAGAGACTTTGATCATTTTTTCATTTATTTCATCTCAGAGCTATCACAAATGGCTCAAATCTAGACTAATCTATTCCGGACCGGTCGTTCCATCACAAGAACTCAATCTCATGGCGTACTAATCCCCGTCCTATTTTGCGCTCATCTGCAAAGGTATCATAATATTAAACAGCTTTTTTCTTTTGCAACTGGGTAATTTACTGAGAGGGAAGGACCTTCTCCTTGGCGAGGGGGGTGAATCGGAGGTAAGGCTTGACGATGCGGAACTCGGGGAAGAGGGTCTTGGCCTCCTCGTTCTTGACGGAGGGGTGGACGATGACGTCCTCACCGGGGACCCAGTTGATAGGGGTGGTGATGCGGTACTTGTCACCAGTCTGGAGGGAGTCGATGACGCGGAGGACCTCGGCGGCGTTGCGGCCGGTGGAGGCGGGGTAGGAGAAGATGGTGCGGATAGTCTTCTTGGGGTCGATGATGAAGACGGATCGGATGGTGAAGGCAATGCCCTTCTCATCGACGTTGGTAGCATCCTGCTGGTCGATCCTGAACATTGTTAGCGTACAACTCATATCATGATATGTATTATTAAGAACTCACATGTCGTAGAGGAGAGAAACCTGGCGCTGCTTGTCGCCAATGATGGGGAACTCGACGTTGCCGCCGGTAACCTCACCAATATCCTTGATCCATCCCTCGTGGGACTCAATGGTGTTGGCAGAGAGACCAATCAGCTTAACACCACGCTTGGTGAACTCGGGCTGAAGCTTGGCAAAGGCACCGAGCTCAGTGGTGCAGACGGGAGTGTAGTCCTCGGGGTGGGAGAAGAGGATGACCCAGTTGTCGCCAATGAACTCGTGGAAGTCAATCTTGCCCTTTGTGGTCTCGGCCTGGAAGTTGGGGGCGGTAGAGCCCAGACGAAGGGGAGCGGGAGCAGACATTGTTTGTTATTGTTGAGTGATGATGAGAAGAAATATGAAGAGGAGAAGGTGTTTGCTTGGAGGGAGGGGTGGAGAGGAGGGGATTATATAGGGAGATGTGGTTTCTTGGGGAGGGTGCTTGGCTCAGATTAGCTTGCACCTTGTTGGAGCAGTGCAGATTGGATGGAAAGAGGCTTGCGTTATTAAGCTAAGATGACGATCTGTTTGGTCCGGGCAATTTGAATACGCCACGAGGGTAGTGATATTGGTGATTGGAAAGCCAAGCTTGGGGGGCCCTCGGATGTTGGTGTTGGCGTTGCAACGGTAAACAATCCCTCAGACCCTGAATATTCCATTCCTCGTACACTCTATTCTCTAGTAACTGGCACATGTTTACTTCTTTCTACTGTATGATCACTTAGTTACTCAAGCTATCCCAGTCATAATACCTCTAACCCTCTTAATGAAGTTCTCAAGGCCCATCATGACAACCCCGCCAAAAAAAGGAAGCATCGCGATACAGATACAGCACCCCTCACTAAAAAGGGTGTCCCCCCCACCATCATCAGCCCCTCACTTGACCCCAGAGGGGCAAGGCTCGCAATTGCGTGCTGTGTGTGTGTGGTGATTGGTTGGGTCTGGCGCATTGTGCCATCGGGCGCGGCAATGCTGCCATCGAGCTGTTCCTGACGCAATTGCTCTCCATGAAGAGGCGATGGGCCGGGGGTGATTGTGGAGGGAGAGGTTCGGAAGTCGGGGTTTGTTTTGAAGGATCATTTAAGCTGTTGTTGATAAACGGCAAACAAATGCATTGTGTCAGTTGAGGAATTATGAGAGAGATGAGGTTTATATATTATATAAGATAGTATCTCGAGTTGGCGGTACTACATTGATTGAGCAATAAATGGTGTGTTGCGGTTCATCGCCGAATGGAACAAACCCCGCCTGTCAACCAATCTTCACAAGACGCCATGACAGCCAAGTCTTATCACACAACCATCTCATCACATCGCGTTACGACTCAAGTTGAAGATGCAATCGTAATCATAGATACCTACCGATATCCAAGACAATCCATCCCGCCCGAGCCGACCGGTGCTGCTGTAGGTAGTGCTGACGTTTTTAAGTTCAGTTCAGGGTAATCGACGACCTTAGAAACATTTAGAGCGTGAATGGTATGAAGGTGAGGCTGGAAACATACGAAGGATTACAACATCATTTATGTGATGTTCTGAAGTAGTTTTTTGCATGTAACCATACCGTAGCATTTTCTATACTTCGTTGGGCTTGAGTACCAGAATCTTCTTCTTACATTGTTCAAGCTTGTTGATTCACGGTTTAAGCAATCTCTACAAGAAACTCAGTGCACAGCCACGTCAACGCGAACTCAATGCAAACAGACTTTAGAACCCAGCCTCACGACAGCCTTGGACGTCTGTAACGCATCAACAGCCCAATTGTGATCCGAACGCACGATTGAGATCCGCCTTGCTTAATCGTGCGTTTGGTTGTCGGTCCCATTCATGAGTACCGTTGACACCCCAGTCTTCTAACAAACATAATCGGGCCGCGTGGCCTAATGGCTAAGGCGCTAGATTTCGGCTTTCGAGCAAATCGAGAAATCTCTAGAGATTCCAGGTTCGACTCCTGGCGTGGTCGATTCTTTTGTCACTTTTCAGCAATGTATTTTTTGCCCTGTTTTATCCCTTGTTTCAAATTACCCACCCTTCTAAGCAATGTTTCTATTAACTTGGCAGTTTCCGTACAAGGAATGCTATGTATCTTTAGCTGCTTTTCTTCCTAAATATCTGGCTTTACTGTTTGGCACACATTTTAGAGTTGCCAAGCTCATCTTGGCAGTGGGTGGCGTTGCTTTTATGCATGATTCTAGAACCGAGGCGTTTTAAAGATCGGTAAGCTTAAATTAGCTTCTTCAACGTAACCACTCATTTCAATAACGCATCACAATAATGTCAACCCATGAACTTCATCTCGTAGAATAAACCTCGCATGACTTGTCATCATAGATCAACCATCACTTTAGATGAATCATCTTCAGCCGCAGTGACAATCTTTCATCATCCTGTGGAACCGCACTCATTGCGATCGCCTCTGGCTTATTCGCATCTGATACGTGCGAACCCACAGGCTGAAACCAACAGACCCATGTGCCCAGTGTCAGAAGTTAAATAATCCCGTGCAATAACTGCCGCTTCTGTTACGCGTCGGACCTTATTCCTTGTTTCTTATACACTCCGACATCAAATCACGTAGCAGGTTATTAAGGGGTAGTGGAGAATGATCAACACTCTACACTTGGTTTTTTCTGGAGCGATGGCATCGCAGATGGAGAGTGTTTGGGATAAGGAGCCTGAGTTTTATAGAGTACGACCCCGGGCTGTTCAATCGATGTTACTTCCCTTTCTTCTTGTTTGTTCCGTGTTGTCTTAGCCACTCTTTTTTGTATTTTTCGTTTAAACAACGTCGTCTTGATGATGACAACCACAATGTCGCGGTCTTCGTTGATGACGGGCGTTACCGTCGCAGCCGTTCTCTTATTTTTCATCGTTGTCTTTACTTCTTTCCAAGAATCATTAGAAGTTCCGTGGGTTTACGCACATAACAAAGTAGAAGAGTATTGGGATAGTACTTTCTCGTATCCGTACGTCAAAATCTCCTAGTCTCGCCGACCGTTGAATTCCCCCGGAATTTGATGACAGCGCGCGAAAAAACTTGGCATTGCACTTGGCTTGCGCTAACGATTGTTTAACTTTGTTACAGATCACCACAGAACAACACCACCACCACCAACACTTCTGCGCCTGAAGTTCAAGAGTGGAATTGCGAGGATCCCTATCGAAGACCTGGGTATCTTTATATTCCCGCTGATATAAACGGCACCGATCAGTATAAAAAGACACAATGGATCCCTTTTACAGATGACCTGCTAGAGGCGGATGCGCCCGATTACGCTGTGTATCCTGCGGCTGGGGATGTCATCTTTAATGCGACGGAACCTGAAGAAGAATTCGTTGAACTTGCTTCTACACCGCGACAATGGCTTGCCGAGGCAATTGCTGAGAGTAACCGACGAAAGAATGCGATAAACGCCAATGGAGAGACAAGCGTCCAGGCGTTTGCTGAGATGAAGGATGACGGCGGCTTCGGCTGGCTCTGGGGTCGTCGCATCATCCTCTTCAGCGACTCAGTCGATCGATTCATGATGCAATTCTTCTGCGGCGAGTTCAAGCGCGGCATGAAGCAGCCTAAGCCACACACCGTCGCCTCCTGCGACATTCCCGAGTTCAACTTGACATTCCACCACTGGCACTTCGCGGGCAGTATGACTTACCGTCCCGATTGGTGGTGGATGGACGATATGGAGGAGATTTCCCTCGAAGAACGATGGGATAAATACTGGACTCCCCTCCACGACCAAGTCCGCGGTCCAAATGGCCACCCTGATCTAATCCTTTGGCAAAACGGCCTCTGGGACCAGCGCGCTTTCTGGGAAGCTGGTGAAGCTAACCACGAGAAAGACGTGTATCCCATGGGAACTCGCGTTCGCCAATTAGTCTGGCAAGAAATCCGCTTCGTTGCTGCTCGAATCCGCACGTTTGTTGAGAGAATACACACTGAATTCGGGGACGCGCCTGTTATGTTCCGCGCGATGACTATGCATCGTGAAAGCGACGCTAGAGATGCGAGTATCTATGATCTTGAGAGACTTGCTCGCGCGACGGCGGAGAAGGCGGGCCATGAGGTGTTTGAATGGGGACGCTTGATCTCGTCGTTGTCGATGCTGTATAAGGATCAGACGCACCCAGGCAAGGGACCTGCGAGTTGGCTTTGGGGAAATATGGTGCTTGAGTATCTTGCGAGGGCTGGAGGTGCAGGTGATGAGAGGAGAAAGCCGTACTTTGAGGGCTGGGATAAGTGCCATGATAAGTTGGTGCATTGGGGTGGACGATAGACTGCATATACATACACACATACTTTATGACAATAGACTAATACATTATGCGAGAATAACTCCATGCTGCCTCGTAAGGCGCCCGGTGTATGTACTTAGTTCTTTCGTGTGCTCTCGATGAGACTTCATCATTATTGTTGGCACTTACTGGCAACGTCCAGCTGAGAAACTAATTTCGAAAATCTTTACAGATACTTCACATATCGCGAATGCAGATGTCCATTTCATGGACCAGAACGTAGTAACAAAACAGTTCAATTGTTTGCGTAGTTGAGTAACGCCATTCCATGCAGCCAGTCCTTGCACCACGCCAATCTGTGTCATTAACTCGTTGAGAGCCCATTCGCTTTACCTATCAATGCTCAACACTCATATAACCTAACCAGAATATGTCTTATTCGCACGGCGCAGCTTCCACGAGGGTCCTTGAGAGTTCCTTCACCCTCGCGACCGCAACTTCGGCCCTTTCAGCATCCGGCGCCTCTGACGTGAATACCAACGCCAGCACAAGCGCAGCATCAAGCCTTAGCAGCGACTCTTCCTGGGCTGTGACACCAGGCCAGGTAGTTATTTCGGTGTAACCTTTGACGAAGCTCTCGTCGAGTTGACTGAACTCCAGCGTTCGAAAGATATCAACGGCTGCTGGGCCGATGAGGGAGTTGGTCCAATCGATGACAGCGCTTATTCGTCCATCTTGGTGACGGAGATTGACGTCGCGAAAGTCCATGTGAAGTAGACTCGAAGGGAAGCGTTTGAGATCCTCGAGGATGGTGTGAATGAGGTCCCAGTTTGTTATCCAGCTTGATGCCTCTGGCACTGTATGCGATAGCACCGAGAAGCGTCTTTTGAGTCTTTGCTCAATCGTTGAGAACACATCTTCCGTTTCCGAAGCAACTGTCTTCATCGCTGGGTCAGATAATGGCGTTGAGTGTATCAGGGCCGCCACTCGTCCCATTTCTTTGAACGTAATCTCTGTTCCGTCATCATCCACGTACTCGCACAACATCGCTGGATAACCATCTTCTTCAAGGTACTTGTATGATTTTGGAACAGGTACGGGTGTGCTTTCCAACAGCTCGTATATCTTCATCTCTTGCCGGATGAGATCACTGGCGTTGGTGTTGGGGTCGTTGGCGTTCTGGTAGACCATTACTCTGGGTACTCTGAGAACGACTGGTCCATACGCTGGAGACCTTGCTTTGTAAACAAGGCATTCGAGACCTTCGCCAGCGGTTTTGACTTCGGTGAGGTTCTCTGCCTCGATGAAGTGCTGAGCTATCTCCATCGTGGTTTGCGAACAGCGATTTGCTGGGCTATCGAGAATTATCTTGGGATTCTGTCTTCGTTCAATAGAAGCTATCAGAAGTAGTAGGTTTCTTGTCAGGAGATTCTGAATGAGGCTCGTATATGCGCGTATAGCTTAGCGTCGAAGGATCGTGAATGAGTCACACAAGAGGTGAGAACTAATTGAGTTGGAGTCCACTCACCGATTCGCCAATCTTCAATTTTACAACGCTATCTCGGAATAGTGTGAGTGGGAGCGATAAGAAGCTACAAAAATAAGAGTAAGATGCTGTAGCGCATGTATTGTATTGCTATCATCGACTGTGGTAACATTGCTGCTGAGCGAGCTACATGACACCATTATCCTCTTTCATGCCAGGGCGCAAGTCATCCAATATTGACAGACTATCCTTAAAACTACTAGACCTAATGTCTACATGGAGGTTTGAGTCATTGCCCTCAGGGGCCTACGCCGATCGGGCACCCAAATGACCCTCGCGGGACGAGCTACAGGCAGTGGGAATACAGATCTCGCCTCTTGTTTGAACGAGACCCCGTATCTCTCAGATAGTTGGTTGAGGTCCCCCAAAGTATAAGGAACTTCAGAAGCATCGAAGTTGCTCTGCAAGAACGTCCGAAGTTCTGGGAATGACCCAGCTTGCTTTGCCTGGCACAATACTACCATAGGCTGGTACATGTCCTCGTGGAGGTCTTTTGAGTCGATCCGAACCTCGACGATAGAAGCGGGCAGAAGTTCGATTAGACTTGTCGGATCAAGACCCTTTATATAAAAGGCATTGGTAGCATTATCATGGCCGGATACTCCAATAGAAAGGGAATCCCCACCGAGAACTAAGGTCTGTAGTCTTTCGAAAGTCTTGAGCGAACGGAGGAGTAAGGATACCGAAGGCGCATCATGTATTGAGTCCCAGCAGCATTCTAGGTAACGCAAGGTGGAAGAGGACTTTTTGAGTCCAAATGCGACGTTCGAGGGTCTTGTAGACACTCCTCGCTGGTTTATGTATATGAATGACTCAAGAGGGTCGCACTTTTTGAGCACTTCTTCGAGAGCATGCGGGTCGAAACTCACGTTGAGAAGCTTCAGGCAGGTGAGGTTTGCTAGTGGCCCTTTGGGAGAGTTGTGTGGATTCCCTTTCCACTCGATGTGACCGGATTTGATGGCAAATGTCTTGATGTTGGGTGCCATTTTGAACAAGTTCTCCAATGTGCTTAGATCACGCTTGTGCGTGGGAGATGTGCTTTCGAGGTGCAGATATCGCAGATCATGCAGCTTTTTCTGTGTTTTGCTTGCGAGTGTCTGACCGAAGGAGCCACGGTCTACCAAAGAGAGTAGCTGGAGATTAGGCATTCTGCATAGCAGAGTGTACAAGGGAAACGGGTCGAGCTCATAGGTAAGGCGACGGATGAAGGATCTCTCCTGCAGCTGGCGGCGACCCTTGAGGAATTCAGTGATCTTCTCCTCTGACCATCCTCTTGCGTCGATGTTGTGGTAGAGGTATGGCGTCGCAGCGTTGTTCAGGACCCGACAAGTGCGAGTGAGGCTCAGAAGGCCGGCGGTGATCTCAGCAGATGGCTTCTCCCATAGCTTTCCTGGATCAGGGGTTGCGAGTGAGTTTGGCTGGGGATAGTGACTCAGATGGTTATTTGTGTAGTGGGTGCAGAGATGCCAACATATCTCGGCCAGAATCTCTGGGTGCATATGATCGAGGGCAGGCTTGATCATGATGACTGCCCTCGATCATGATGAGTTGAGTTGGGTGCGAGGTGCATGAGGGAAACGCGTGAATGCTGAGATAGCCTAGGCAGCTGAGATATCATGCAGCAATGCCCTATGGTGACACAAGAAGCCACAAGGAAGCAAATAACAAAACTGCTTCTGATACCGGTAGAAACACGGCTACTGGGGTCAAACTTGGTGGCTGAAGAGCTGAAACCGTATGTATATGACTAAGAAGATGCAGAGAACGGTGATAAATATTGGACAAATTATTCGTTCTCGATTACTGGAGTAGCTCAGAAGCACTTCAGATATACTAGGCTACCGGTAAATGGATCATAAGCTAATCCTAGTCCTAACTTCTTTCCAGCCTCCCAGCATCACGTTCAAAAAGCCTCTTGTTCGTTCCACTGAACGATACATTACATGTCCTGCTCAGCCGCGATAGTGGACGGCATGAGCTACTTTCCCAGAAATCCTCCAACTCCTCTGGAGTTATAGATGAGCCTGAAATCTTCTCAAGCACGTAAGCCTCCAAATGCTCATACAACCAATTATAGCATCGGACCTCCCTCAGCATTGGAAATGAGCCCTGCTTGACCGCTTCACCCAGCGCGATAATCGGTTCATGGATGATGCTCATATGATCCGAATCAATGCTGACGCTGCGGATTGACGGTGGCAGAAGGTCGACAAGACATGTCTCGACCGTCTTCTTATCCTCAGACTTTCCAAAGCGGAATCCTGAACCGACGAGGATCAGCGTCTCCAGGTTCGTCAGGCCCTTCAAAGAGCCCACGATCTCAATTCCGCTATCATCTATAGGGCCAGGCATCCAGTGGATTTCAAGATACCGTAGCGTTTCCTGTCGTACAGAAAGTACTTGTGGAAGTGTTTTGGGCGTAGTAGCATGGCCAAATTTCGACCGGAAACTTTCCCTTACGGAATAGCTGAGTATGAATGATTCAAGCTGTGGGCACGCATCGAGAATCCTTTTAAGAAACCTTGGGCTAAGTAAGGTGTTGACAAGTTTGAGACACTTGACATTTCCAAGTCCTGTAAAAACTGGCGGCGTGCACAACTTGTCGACTTGGATGACCAGTGTGTCGATGTTGGGTGCCTGTCGAAGCAACTCATGGATCTGTGGGCTGTGGGTGATGTGTTGTGACTCGTTGTCAGAACACTCAATGTGTAGATACCGCAGTGACTCTAGGGTTGTCTGTCTGGAGACCTTGATTTTATGCCCCAAGCTCTGATGTGTGCGATGAATTCTTTGGTGTGGAGGATGTCGCTCTTGAGTTCGATGCGGTGATAGCGATGGGACAGAGTGAATGTGCTCAGTGCTTTACATGTCTCAGAGAGATTAACGAGGGTTTCGACGCCTTCGGCATCATGTTTCCAGAATTGGCTAGAACAAGAGGTGGTGAGGGTTTCTTTGTGCGGGAAGTGAGAAAGTGGCTACATCTGGCAATGAGTGCAGAGTAATCTGCAAACTTTATCCACCATCTCTGGAGGCAGAGAAAGGAGACCCATGGTGATGACTGCGAATGCACGGCGGTGAATGAGTTTGTGGGATTGTGGGAGATGAGAGGGAGAATAAAAGGAAATATGTCGAAGTGAGAAATAAATAGGACGTGATAAACACACCAGCTAGACTGGTTTATCATGATAAGCAAAATGAACAGACTTAAATTTCAGGAAGGCTATATGCAAGAGCCCATAAGCCAGTGTTACACCAGAAAAGCCGCGTTTTGTGGTTGGTGTGCTAGAGGCTGTCAACCGAGACATCAGTCCTCAACGGCAAACAACTTGGCTGTCAACTCAAGCGAGGTATTTGTGCAACGTTCTTAAATTACGTTGGCGACAGATGAGTCATAGATGATGCTGGGGACTTTTACTTGGGGGGTAAAAAGAGAAAATAAGAAAATAAGAACAAAAGGTTGTGATCTTGCGAAACAATACGAAAGGCAGATGAAATTACTCAGAGTTCTTTAATGTTTGGCGGGTATACGAAGGAAGAACAAGTTTTGAGTTTTGAGATCAGTATATTTAGGATAAATCTGACTAGATATGCAAAAGTGAGGAGCGTTCCAGGTTAACCACCTTGGTGCCTAACTTCCTAAGCTGCCCGTACATAACCCGGAAGGCCCGCTAATATCCAAGGCGGTGATGTGCTTCCATAGCCGCTGCTCCAGGAGTGTTGGAAGGCGTCTCAGCTGGGGGAGCAGGGGCTGAAGGTGCAGAGGGTGTAGGAGGGCTTGCAGCAGGAGTACTCTCAGCGGGGGGCGCAGGAGGAGCTTCTTCCTCAGCGGGAGTAAACGCTGCATCTGCCAACGGAATCTCTCCAACCGTTCCGCCTGTAGCTGCGCCAGCGTCGACGTTGGCCAGGGCACCAGCTGCCTTCTTAGAGAACTGGACCAGGTTTTCCTCAGAGGGGCTGGGAGTGGTCAGTAGCTGTTCTGTGTATTACGGAGTGGAGTCGGACTTACGGGTTGATGGCCATCACCTGACCGATCTGACAGTGCGGCCCGGTAGCACAGTACAAGTAGATAGGCTCTGTGTTGTTGAGAGGAACATTGAACGTCCCAACGGTTGTCTGTCCAGCCTCGAAAGGAATATGGCCACTATGGATAACTCCAGACTGTGTAGCCTGGAGTGGCTGGCATGGAGAGTCTTCAGAGCTTTGGGTTACAGTATGATTTCCATTACTAAACTGGAACTGGATCACATCCCCGGCTGCTGCTCGAATCATGTTCGGAACGAAGGTATCTTGAGCACCGCCGACGACAACGGGGATGATTCTGTTGGCTCGGCCTTCGAGGGGTGGATTTCTCTTGACTATCAAGTATTAGCATGGTTCTTCGGTTGAGTGCTATAAGAACTTACTCGAGACTGGCTGATAGACTTCAAGCTCATGGAGTTCCCGTGGGGACATTTCAACGAGTGGCATAGCAGTAACAACTGCAGCCCACAAGAAAGTCTTGGCCAACATCTTGAATATTATCAACAAAAACGAAACTCAAAAGGTTGGTTGGTAATGAGCGTATCGTAAAGAAGGTCCAGCCAACTAGCAAAACTGAAATTAACAATTACAAATCCTCGCCAGGAGGGTAAAAGAAAAAGAAGAGAATTTCGATAACTCAAAGAAGGTAAGAATGGTAGACTGATCTGTGAATCAGACCATTATTCCCGACTGCAACTCAAGATGATCTTATAACATTTCGAAATCACTGATGATCGGGCACATGCCGAGCCTCATCTCTGGGCCGAAACTCGAGCTGAGACAAGAATATGGATAGAGTTGCCCTTTCGCAAGATATGACAAATTCGCTAGCAGCCAAGATGTTTTGCAAACTTGACTTGTTTCAGGGTACGGTTACGTGGTGTTTCATCAACGACCGAGATATATAGCCGAGATATGGTTTTAAGTAATATTTCATGTTTTTTGTCTTGATTCATGTTTTAGAGTGATATTTCATGTTTGTAAGCATTAAGAACAATGACACATTGATATAGGGTTTTTGAAACGGGCATGCGTGGCTTTCGGCATGTGGGCAGATATGTCGGGCTTGGCGATCTTGATAGAGGTTTGATGTGATGTTGCATGAGTGATTCATCTGATGAAGCGGCTATAGTGACCAGATGAGGAGGTTTAGGGGCCGAGAGGCTTGAGCCGTAGGAGGCTGAGTGATTCGTGATCGCCTTCAGGCTTGTTTCATCAACATCAGGGAATGAGTGGAGATAGTCGTAACATTAACCATAAATACAGAGCACTGCCACTTTATAGACTTATCAATTAAGTTTAATGACTGATACGCATGAAGGTAAGTGTTACAATGTGTTGGCATCATGTCAGAGAGGTGAGGCATGATGTGGCCTTGAATCCTTGATCGAGATGAGCCAGTGAGGTCACACCAGCCAGCCACTTCACTTGTCGCAAGATAAGGTATCTGCTTACCAAACTCACCTACATCATCTTACAACGCTCATCGCCAGTCTTTATGAAGTCAACGAGAATTACCCCGTGGGGGCATGCCCATCCCCGCAGAACCCCAACCCCAATTAGCCTGATCTTTACTCCCCCGCAAAGACCCCAATCCGAACATCGTCACTTTGCCGCTACTGACCTCCAATTCAACGTTTTCGTTGGTGGAATTTTAATTACCGATCGTGCCTTGACAGAACTAACGTTATTGAGGTTCCATTGCCGGGGCCTCATCGAGGATTATATTAACTACGGCATCGAATATCCGAATAAGCTTGCAAATAATATGCATCCTCGAATGTGATTTGTGGATTTTAACGCGTGAGTTTGGATCTGGTTATATGCTTTGGGGGTTTAAATGAAGGAGGACCGGCCAATGCGAGGTTGAACTAGTAGATTTATATAGCAGCTGCCAGACCGTAGTATTTTGGTTTGGAGCAAGTGTCACGTATCTCAACATGAAGGGCTTCATCATCAAGACGGCAATTATTGCTGCGACTCTCTTTTCTACTGCGACTGCATCCGCCAAGGGACCTGTTGACACGTACAAAAAATGTCAACGGCAGACAAAGCGTGCTACAGAAGGCTGTCCCAAGGGCACTCTCTTCGTAGCCAAGGATGATCCACGAGCAGACTTTTCCTCCATCCAAAAAGCCATCGACTACTTGGGTAACACAACAACCGCCGGCCATATTCTCATTGCACCTGGAAACTACAGCGAGCAATTGAACGTCACCCGTCGAGGTCCCCTTCATCTCATCGGTGCTTCAAACAAGCCCTGGGTCAAGGATCTCTACGCTGATATTGACGTCAACACCACGGCGCAGAACGACGTTCAGATCTGGTTCAATCTTGCGAATACGAACAATGGAAGTTTGAGTGACAATGTGTTCACGAGTGTACTCACCGTTGGACCTAATTTCAACGCTACCCTGACTGGATCTGGACCTACGGGATTCCCTGTGCCTGAGGACACGCCATTCGGATGCACGGATTTCAGGGCGTATAACATTGATTTCAGAAATGATTTTGCGCCTCAATCTGTTGGACCTGCGCATGCGGTTGGTGTGAGTCGGGCTAATGCGGGCTTTTACTCTTGTGGCTTCTACTCTTACCAAGACACTGTAAGTCAAAATCACCATTGATGATGAGAAAATGAAATTATAGCTGACTTTATAGGTTTATGTTGGGAAACTTGGAAATGCTTACTTCTACGACAACATCATCGCCGGACAGACTGATTTCCTGTACGGCTTCGGCACAGCTTGGATTGAGAAGTCAACACTATCTCTCCGAGGCTGCGGAGGCGGCATCACAGCTTGGAAAGGCACCAACACGACATTCACCAACAAATACGGCGTTTACATCGATAACTCACAGCTCATTCCGGTAAACTCCACCATCGCTACAAACTTTGTTGGAAAATGTGCCCTCGGTCGACCATGGAACTCGCAGCACAAGTCGATCTTCATGCAGTCGTACTTTGATGCAGTGATATTGCCTGCTGGTTATATCGAGTGGAGCAAGTCGACACCAAGAGTTGATAATTATACCTTCATGGCGACGTGGAATGATCATGGGCCGGGATATAATGTTGAGGCTGAGAAGGCGAGTAATGTAACGAGGGTCTTGACGGATGCGGAGGTCAAGTCTTATAGAGCGCCTGCGGATGTATTTCAGACTCCTGAAGGGAAGTTTGGACACGTCAAGTGGATTGACAAGAAAGCTCTATAAAAACTCTCAGCTCGACTAGGATTACAACAGTTTGAGATGTCCCGCGGCTCAATACATCACATGTGATATTGTGATTCACCCACCACCATGACTCGGCATCAGAAGCTGAACTCTCTTCCTCCATTGGCCCGAATGTCTCAGTTTGTCAGCCTCAAGCAAGGCTACGTGCCATGTCTCAAACTATCACAGCTCTCGGATATTTATTCCCGCCTTACTTTCGTGATTTGACGTGAAGAAATAACCGCTGCCAAGTGAATGAGGATCCCCAAAGCGAGATGAGATTTGAATCCATTTGCAGGGATGTAAACTCTGTATCCAATGGCGCGTTTCATTTCTTTAATTGCCCCTTATTTTAGTTCGCGGGGTAAAAGACGCTAAGATTAGTGGTTGGACGGTTCAGGATCGGGAGGTGATCTTCACATGAGAAGATGAGCGAAGATGGTACGATATGAGCATTGGCCTCTGCAAAGGAATCAGATATACGATCAAAGTATGTAATCAAGGAGTGATATAAAAAGTATCTTGGAATAGATACTGATTCAGGCGGGATACCTCCCCGAAACTCTGTGATTATCTATACCCATATCAAGTAGGTAGGTAATACAATCGACACCAGTGGCAAAGCAAACCAGTTACATTCCATCAAGCAAGCCACTTCCTCTTCCCCGGAGGAGACGTTCCCCGTAATAAGAATCCTTCAACGGGCATCCATCAACAAATAACCACCCCTGCCTGATCTACAAATCTGACATCTCCCTCCTCCACTTTCTCCTCTTCATCTCACAGTATGAGCTGACGAGACAATTCTGCCTTCGAGGCGCCTTCGAAATGGGCTACTCAGGCGGCGACGACCAACGACAACCTTCGGTAACGATACCCATTGCAGTGTGCATGGGCATTTCTCTGTACAATGTTATTGAACTCAATGTTCTTATCCTCACGACGTTCAAGACAAGGAAGAGCTTGTACTTTTGGAGCTTTCTGGCTGCCACTAATGGGATTGCACCTCATACCATTGGCTTCCTTCTCAAAAATCTGGTCTTTTCTGATAATTTTGTTTTATACATCACGCTTATTTCTGTTGGCTGGGTTTTGATGGTTACAGGCCAATCGCTTGTTTTATATTCTCGACTACACCTCATTTTCTGGAACCAGTTCATTCTAAAGCTTGTGCTGGCTATGATTATCACCAATGCTGTTGTTTTGCATATTCCGATTATTATTCTTATGTACGGCGCCAACAGTAGCGACAAGAATCCATGGGTCCATCCATATCAGATCTACGAAAAGATCCAAGTCACGGTGTTCTTCTTTCAAGAACTTATCATCTCGGCGATCTATATCAAAGCGTGCTCTTCGTTCTTTGGGACAGAGGGGCTTTTATATCGGAAAGGCGTTCGACGAATGAGGAGGCATTTACTCTTCGTCAACGTCATCATAATTCTTCTCGATATTCCGATCCTAGTCCTCGAATTCGCAGACTTTTACGACTTCCAGACAGCTTACAAAGCAATTGTCTACAGCATCAAACTTAAGCTTGAGTTTAACCTTTTGAATCAGCTTGTGGAGGTTGCGAAAGGGAATGATGCACGTGGGGCGGAGAGTGGAAATCAAATTGTGCGTTTGAATGCCTTTGAGCAAGATGGTGCTGTATATGTGACCAAGAATAGTGAATGTGGAAACATGGAAACGGAGGCAAATACGAAGAGACGAAAACGGAGGAACTCGAATGCAGATGATAGGATTCTAATTGAGACGGAAATATCTGTTAGTTATGTTGAAAGGAGAGAGCATGATAATGAGAGCACGGGATGAAAGATGTCGACATAGGACTAAATTCACGAATGAAATGGCTTTACCTCTTCAACTGAGATATTATAGAAGGACCAAGTTAAAAGGGAAATCTTTCTGCTTTCAAGTTACATAGACAACTATGGAGAAACTTGCAGACCACAAAGTCAAAATCTAGGCAGATGATACCTCATAGGCAACAGGAATATGATACTTTCTCGCAATGTAAAGTATATACTGTTTCTTAAAAGCTTCTACTATGGCTATTGCATCTGAAATGATGGTGCAAACTAGTTCTCACACTTTATCTCTTACATGGTATCAAACTAAATTTCGTCTGGGTTCTCAGCTGAAGGCAAGTGGATGCGTGCAAGAGAGCAAAGCTTGATTTACACCTTAAGCATTAAACCTGACCTTACTTTCGTCTGCTAGAATGTTCTCCTTGTGACTCACTAGACGTGAACTCTTTCCTGTTCTGCCTATAAATAGCCCCCTTTTCCTCCCAGAAGTCGAAAATCATTATCACTTCTCTTTAAAATTTTGTGGCCCTTGGCAGAGAAGATCTTTCCTCTATCCCAACATGTCATCCAGTTTTTGACAACAGCACCATCGACTTCTGTCGAAATCTTTGTCCCTGGGGATGTTTCCTTGTTTCATCTTGCATTTAAGGGACGAAGGAATCATTCCAGCAGCAGAACTCAACCCCAAAGACCAGCCCAGTTCCAGATCTCGTCGCCGTGGACTGGCTCGTACATCTCACTGAGTCTGCAGTCAGTAGCGATGGCGGGTGACGAGTGGGAGTCGAGGTCGTTGCCTTTAGGCTGCAGCATCCCAAGCAACTCTGATCAAGATGGACATATCGCCGACTGACAGAGTCTGCGACTCCCCCACGACCTCGATCTCGACCTTTCCTAATCCACCCATCCCTCAAAGTCGTCTCGACAACTGCGAAATCATCAAGAAACCAATCAAGCTAGGTTCTCTCGGCTAGATTAAGCTCTCAGCCATAAGTCTCAGCGGCAAATAGCACTTCAAGCTCACAACTTGGACATTATACCAAGATGTCTGACCAATTGCTACAGCACAAGGCTGATAAGAATCTCCAATCCCTCGGCCAAGGAAGGTTAGCTCAACACTACAAAGGTAATGAGTTTATGAGTCAGTCACAAGGTTAGAAAATACAATTCGGGTTTAACACAATAGAAACCAATCAAGCTCTCCGCTCTGGCTACACTGGATCAACAACGCTGAACTCAACCATATCAAGATGTCAAACCCGAACAACCCGCGACTGGAACCCAGGGCTGAGAGCTTATAATCACCACATAGAACCCGGGATCTTCTCGCAACTTTGGTCGCAACCGCCGTGCCGAGGACCCACTCGTCGTTTACGGCATCTGAATTATTTCCATCTGTGTCTTAAGAATTGACACTCCTTAGACGAGCGCTGTCGAACTATGCAAGAATACTTTCAAGAGAGCTTCTTCTAGCATAGCACCTACCATGGATGCTACATGCTTCGAGAATTCGTTCCTAGGGACCTTACTGCCTGTCAGTCAGAGACTACAGGCTCCTCTGGATGCTCGTTGACGAGGACCTCTTCAAGAGAAGAAATTATCACACAAAACTACAAACCACAAACCACAAAAATGCGTCTTCCAAGCAGAAGGATTGATTTCCGACCACCTGCTAACAGCGTTCAATGGCAACGAAATATGAGGACAACTGGCCTATTCCGAACCTATCAGTTATGGATTGCAGGTTCCTTTAGATGATCATTGCCGAGGACCTATTTGAGAGGTTTGAGGAGCATCTTGTCCCTTCCAAGCTAGGAAACAGCAGGAAGGGCGATCTCAAAAGGCTCGGGTTGGTGATTTTGGATGCCACCACTTTACCTTTCAGTTCAGATGAATAAGAACACGGTATTTCCCCCCCAATATAAGCTTTTACCCAGAAGCTTTCACGATAACCAATAAATCTTACTGCAAGCCCTAGGGCATTACAAAGGGAAGAGATTAAGAGGCATACAAAGGGAGATAACCTCAGGTTTGCATCTCTGTACACACACCACACCAGAACTCCACAAACAACATGCCAACAGCAAACCGAAGTGTCCATACTTTTGCTGAGGTGAGTCACATCCGGGCTGGCGACTGGAAGCTTCGATAGCTGAGAGAATATAAGCTGATCAAGTTCATAAGATTAATACACGACGACTTTTAAACACGATAGTTCTTCATGATACTACAAAGAATGCGGCAGTAGTGGCGTGAGCCAAAGCTGCAGTTCCAGGCTGCGTCTTGGACAGTCCGCGATATTCAGATGACGAACTCCGTTCCAGTGGCGAAGGAGAGCATGCACGACGTTCCATACATCGTGAGGTTGCAACTGGTCAGAATAACGATACAAATGTGGCATTTGTACTATGAAATCTACCTCTATTGCCAAACAGAAGGGAGAATTAGCGACCGGCCCCCACCAGTGCAAGCTCACAGCCCTCGACTCCCGTATACCAGATGGGTGCCGAGGAGCCCGAGGGCTTGATTACGACCCTGTCAATGAATCTGGATGTCAATGAGCTCGATGCTGGAGTCCATTCAGCTGTTGATAGGAAGAATGTTGAAGGGGAATAGACAGCGTCCATCCCTGCTATCGATACGAGAATGGGATGTGACCGTGCGAGTCGACTTGAACATTAATGAGAATACATCTGAGCAGTATAGGGAGTCAGATACCAAGACAGACGGCTTTGTATGATAATGGTTGTGACGACAGATCTGATTGTCACATCGGTGTCGACAGGCCATGCACATCGGAATTTTATTTCCTTGATTTATTAAACTCTGGGCGAATAATTTGGGGGTCGTTTCCTAGCCGCATGCCTGTGCCCCTCACCCGCGTGGTCATCCGTCTTACATTGCAGAAACAAGGTTATCACCTTATACTTCGGATAGTATCTTTGGACGATTATGTGCTTGAAACAGATGAACTCGAGCGGCTTTTGGGGCGGCGGGAATTTTAGAATCTCCAGGGAAATAACCGCAGACGCCCGGTTATTACGACAATGGGTCCTGGCACATTAAAAATCTGACCGCTTAATGGTTGCTTCTTGAAGGATTGCAGTCTAAAGAGGGCTGAGCTAGGATCCGCAGGTCTAGGACGGAATGGGTTACCTGCGCGGACCAACCTTGCATGACCGTTGGACAGGC